CATAGTTTGGAAAGTGGCAGAAGCTGAGCTCGGTGGCACACACCTGTAGTCCCAGCTGTCCAGGAGGTTGAGGTGGGAGGATGGTTTGAGGCCAGGAGTTCAATGCTATCAGCACATTTATGAAAATGCACTGCTCTACAGCCTAGGCAACATAGACTTTGTCTCTTAAAAAAATAATAAAAACGTTTTAAATTTTTAAATGAAAAACATGGCCAGAATTCTAGCCTATGCAATGGCTACCCACCTCACAGACTTCTTACTCTTACAGATGTAAACCTGTGCTGATAGCGGCAGCCTCCATCTGTATAATACTAAATTGTCATCAGATAATTCTTGTTACCTTTTTTGTTAGTGCCTTTGTTCCAGGGAGAAAGTAAGAGAATAAAAACATGCTTGCAAGGCACTGCGCATACAAGAGGCCTCTGAGAGTTGCTGCCAGACCTGTGTGCCCCCAAAGCAGGTGCCTTCTCGTAAGCATCCTGGGGCAGGTGTAACAGCCCCTGATGAGTCCTGCTCAGTGTGATGTGGGTCTCAAGGAACTGGTCCTTATCGTGGTCAAACGTGAGTGATTTGAGAGTAATGTAACTTAAAAAGTAAACCAGAATTCATTCAGAGTGATCCCCAGAGTAACGGCCCTCTAACCCACTGGCATTCCAGGATGCTTTCCTGAGTTTCTTGGGTTTGGAGTGACTCCATGAGCCCTGGGAACTATGCAGAGCCCCCGTCTCCCACCCCTTGCGGACATGCAGCACCAGTATCTGTTGGACGTGTGCACATCGAGAGGACTGAGACCCGCTGCAAGGAAGTGTTCAGTGCATGTAGAGTGAGGTCATGAATGAACAGCTGGGTGAATGGGTGAATGGCATTTCAGCCTGTATGAAGTTATTAACAAGGTTTTGTTCCTATTGCTCAAAATTCTGTGAACTACTTTCAGTATTATTTCACAGCTTGTTTGAGTAATACAACAATGCAAGCATTAGCCGAGAACATCAGTGCCTTCATTGTTGATTAAAATTGGCCCCATAATGAGGATGTGGGAACGCTGCCATCTGAGCAGAAGCCAGCTGTGTAGTGAGCCCCCTTCTCCCTGAAAATGTTCTCTGTAGCATGTGGGGTGAGTGAAGAGACCCCCAGCCTAGACAAGGGAGACACATCTTTGTACTCAGCTGTCTGCACTCTCAGTTGGCACAAGTCCCTTGGAGGACACCGGTCACAGAGTCAAATCCTTGTTTTGCATAGAGATGGAGCAGGAGCCAGCAGGCTTCTCCAGCAGCACCAGAGGTTTAAGGGCTAAGGACGGGGACCTTGCAGACAGTCAGCGTGTGACAGCCTTGGTGGAATGCCCAGAGGAGGCTGTGGAGTGAGCATCAGCTAATGGTACGGGGTGGTTGGGATTCAGCCTTTCTGGAACTCCAGTCAGTCTTCCCATCTCGGTTTTCTGCGTAGCAGCCTGGGGCACAGAGCTGGAATGCCAGCCTTCTCGAGTTTTGGCCTCAAGCTGTTCCACAGCATGTTGTAGTTATAATGTCCCCTATGTACCGTGTGGGTGAAAGGCCTGGGAAAAGAGTTTCCTATAAAAGTAAATAAATTGGGGCAGGGGGCAATTGTCAGTAAATAGCTAAATAAATTATTATGTAGCCATAACTTTTGTTAATTATACCTCTAAAGCTGGAAAAAACTGGTGGTGGTGGTGGAGGAAAGTACTTACGTTATACTCTGAAGACGAGAATATACAACAATAATGTAACCTCATTATGGTTACAACTGTATAAATTTAATGTATGCAAATGAACAAGCATTAGAAAAGCACTTAAATCAGCTGGGCGTGGTGGCTCACACCTGTAATTCCAGCGGTTTATGAGGCCAAGGCAGGCGGATCACAAGGTCAGGAGATCGAGACCATCCTGGCTAACGTGGTGAAACCCCATCTCTACTAAAAATACAAAAAAACAAAATTAGTTGGGCATGGTGGCAGGTGCCTGTAGTCCCAGCTACTCAGGAGGCTGAGGGGGGAGAATGGCATAAACTCGGGAGGTGAAGCTTGCAGTGAGCCGAGATCCCGCCACTGCACTCCATCCTGGGCAACAGAGCGAGACTCCATCTCAGAAAAAAAAACCAACTCTGTTTAAGTATTAGGATGATGGGACTGTAGATGCATTTCCTCCCATTTTGGATTTTTAATTTTGCTGTTACATTATTCCCGCAAAAAACAAAAGCCAGGCAGGAAAAGTTCCCATCTCCAGACCATCCCGTCTGGCAGATGTCCCAAGGCAGGAATGACCTGAACTCCTTTTCTACCAGTGGCCAACTCTCCTCCTGCTCTAGGCTTAGTTCTCAGGCTTTGAGAACCTCAGGGCAGGACACCCTTTTCCCACCCCAGCAAGCAAAATGAACAGGTAACAGTTGTGTCTTTGTTTTGAGCAACAGGAGCAGATGGGACCCACACTGGTGGGCTGCCTGGGAAAGGTCCAGGGCTGGCTTGGCCCTGGCAGCAAGGCCGAGGAAGGTGGTGTGGTGGGGAGGAGACCCAGGGCTGCAGGCATGCCCTGAGTTACCCTTTGCACCCCTTTCCCGGCTTCAGGAACTCTCTGTGGGATGCGTTAGACCTGCTGACAGGCTGGATAAGGCCAATGAGAGAGAGAGGGAACAGAGAAGAGGGGCACCTGGGTTCACAAGCCTTAAGAAAGAATTTAGTTACTTATTTAACAATGTGTGTCACCCATATAGGTCTGGGAAATGCATTTGAAAAGACACAGTGCAGAGGTGCAGCACCAGGATACGGGTGGATTTGGGAGTCTAGAATGTCTTTGGTTGTGTGTGGTACAAGGGAGAATGCATACATGTATTACGTGTGTAGTATTTGAAGTACACATATAGAGGAAAAGATGAGACAAGTCTGTGAGATGTCAACAGCAGCAGTTCTTAGTTATGGGTGCTGTGAATTTCCCAGAGTGGAGGAGAGAGTCCTTTAGCCCGGCATGGTGGCGCTAGCCTGTAATGTCAGCACTTTAGCAGGCTGAGGCCGGATCACTTGAGTCCAGGAGTTCAAGATCAGCTTGGGCAGCACAGCGAGATCCCCATCTCAATAGATGGATTGGATGGATGGATGGATGGATGGATGGATGGATGGATGGATGGATGGAGAGACAGAGACAGACAGATATTTAGATAGCTAGATGGCCTAGATTGCTTGATGAATGGGTAAGTTGGATAGGCGGAGACAAATGGATAGAGATAGATGAGAAGGATAGATGGATGGATTAGATGGATGAATGGACAGAGAGAAATAGATTAGACAGAGATAGATGGATCCATCGATGGATTAGATCGGTTAACATAGTCCTCGCGTTCAGGGAAGCCGCGGCGGTGCTGCCTGGCGCAGCGGCCTCTGCCCAGACACTCAGCGCTGCAGACCGGGAGGGAGGCCGGGCCCGTGCGGGACGCGGGCTGGGGTGAGGGAGGGGGCGGCGGCCCGGAGGAGCAGCAGGCGCGCCCCGCGCGGTTTCCGGTCTGGGGTGGCGGGGCCGCTGTCCGCGTGGGGTGTGGGAAGGGAGCGGGGCGCCGGGTCAGCCAAGGGCCGGGCCTCGGGGGCGCAGCCGGCTGGACGGGGGCTCCTGGGGGCACTTGGCCGGGTTTGCTCGCTTTTCGGGAAATGAGGCCACTGGGGACAGTCGCTGCGTTTTCAGGAACCGCTCAGCCCCTCTGAGTGCCCGGCAGAGGGACCCGGCGGCGTCCCCGGCTGCGGCTGCCTGGGCTCCGGGAGCGAGGAGCGCCCCTGCGGGCCGAGCCTGGGTCCCGGGCGGTGGGAGCGCGTCCGCCCCTTCCCGACTCCGCCCCTTCCCGACTCCGCCCCTTCCCCGACTCCGCCCCTTCCCGACTCCGCCCCTCCCCCGACTCCACCCCTTCCCGACTCCGCCCCACTGGTGCCGGAGCCCCGCCCCGGTCTGTGCCCGCCACGCCCGGCCCTGCCCTCAGGTTACAGGCGCTCCCTGAGCCCCCTTCATCCGCGCACCGCCGTGTGCTGCTGGCGCCGGGGCCCTCGGAGCGCAGGGATGGCCCAGCCCGCGCGTTCCCGAAAATTCCCCACACGCGGGCTCCTCCCGCGGAGTCCCAGCTCTCCCGTGACGGCCCCGCGGACCCCGCTCCGGGCTGAAAAGGGCCCACGCGTGCCCTTGGGAAGAATCTTTCCCGGGGCCTGTGGCTTGTCCGTCTGGCCACACATTTTTGAAAAGAGACACTGAGGCGGGAGATGTGAGGTTGCGTCTGCCCCGTGAATACGGACTGGAGGAGACCCTCGCGGGGGACGGGGGTGTCCCTGCGAGCGCGGAGCTGCGCCCCCGGGGCCGCCTCGGCCAGGGCTGCCCCCACCCCGCCTGCCCTCGCGGGCGGCCCTGACTGCGGGTGTTCAGGCGTCTGGAGCGTATTCCAAGCCCGCAGGTGTGGAGCGCGAGCCGTTTCCACCTCACATCTCATCTGGCCAGGAGGTCGCGTTTCCACGTTTCCTTTTGTTCCCAGCCCTGCATGTGGACATGAGATCCGACACGGGACCAGCTGTTTCTCGCTGCACGGTTTTTTGTTTGTGTTTGTTTATCCATTTTTTTTTGTTTTTTTGATACACTCTGTGGCCCAGGCTGGAGTGAGCGGCGCCATCTCAGCTCACCGCAACCTCCGCCCCCGGGTTCCCGCCATTCTCCTGCCTCAGCCTCCCGAGGAGCTGGGACCACAGGCGCCGCCACCGCGCCCGGCTTGGTTTTGTATTTTTAGTAGAGACGGGGTTTCACCATGTTGGTCAAGCTGGTCTCGAACTCCTGACCTCTGGTGATCTGCCCGCCCCGGCCTCCCAAAGTGCTGGGATTACAGGCGTGAGCCACTGGGCCCGGTCTCGCTCCACGTTTTGTGCAGATCCCCCTTCCAGAAGTTGTGGTTCATGTTTTTAGGTGCTGCGGGGCTAATGATCTTCCTGTTTCTTGTTCCCCTCTCCTCCCCTTCCCCTCCGCCAGGAAGGGTGCCTGTGGCCTTCAGACAGCTCCGCACCACGGCCGGGCGCCTCGGAGGTAAGGGGCCCCAGCAGGTGGGGATGAGGGGGTCCCGTCCCTGCCACGTGGGGGGAAGGGGAGGGGCCTCGCCAGGCGGGCTGACACTTTGGTCAAAAGCGGGAGGGGACTTCCCCTAGAATCTTCCAGGGATTATTCGTGCTAGTCTAAAGCTCCTTATCAAAAACAATTTGAGAATCACATATCTTTACATGATCCCATAAGCTTCTACTAATGTGCCTTGGCAAGTGTGGGCATAGTTTATAAATATCAGCATGATTCATTCCCACATCTCCAAGTGTAATAATGTGGATTTTAAAATAACTTTGTTTTGCCTTTAAGTTAAAAATAATGGTGTGAGAGAAATCAGTATCTCTGTGTGTAGATATGTGTGTATATTAAATGCATGTGTATACACATGTATATACACACACACCTATGCATATATACGCGCACGCGTGTGTGTGTATATATATGTATATAAAAGAGCTATCTCCTAGAATAAACTGGGATGGTAAACAAATGAGAAGATTTTGTAAGAAATATACTACCTGGATTCATTTTGAAAAAATAAATTATGATAATCATATTTGAGTAAAAACATTTTTCATGTCAGTGACTAAAAATAACTACAGGAAACTTTTACTCAGATTCCAAATAACTGGAAAAGTCTAGGAGCCACAAAGGAAAAACAGTCATTATTGGGGGATTTGTTAAAAAGTAATTGGTAGGGCAATAATCTTCTCTAAGTAATTAATAAGTCGACCCAGCGCTTTGTATCTGCTCCATGTACCACTGTGTGAAGTTGTAACTTCTGCTTACCCAGAGTCCTGGCTGGCGCAGTAGCTCATGACTATAATCCCAGCACTTTAGGAAGCTGAGGCGGGTGGATCACTTAGGCTCAGGAGTTAAGACAAGCCTATGCAACGTGACAAAACCCCATCTCAAAACAAGAAGCCAGGTATGGTGGTGCGCCTGTAGTCCCAGCTACTCAGGAGGCTGAGGTGGGAGAATCGCTTGAGCCCAGAAGGTTGAGGTTGCAATAAGCCAAGATGGCACCACTGCACTCCAGCCTCGGTGACAGAGCCAGACCCTGTCTCAAAAAAAAAAAAAAATTAAGATAAATAAATAAAAATAAAAACTCGGAGCCCCTCCTTACTGTTCTGAATCGTAGGTTCTAGGTTCTAGAGCTGGCAGGGACCTGAGAAAGGAGGCAGCCTTGTCCTGTCCTCGTAAGTTGTAGAGAAGCCGAGTCCTGGACAAGGTCACTGGTGACCGGATCCGAGTGCAGGCTGCGGTGCTGTTCGCCCTGTGACTCTTGGCGCTCCTAGTGTGTTCTGTGTCCAAGGGGAAAATGCACACGTAGCACACACAGTAACTGCCAGGAGCCCGAGAGTAAAAGCTCTCCATTGCTCAGCCCTCCCGGATGCCCTAGGATCTGGCAAGGTGAGTGGTCTGTCACAAGGAATCAGAAAAGTAAGCTTTTTTTCTGGAATTGGATTTTCCTGTTTTTTTCCTGGGAGGGGGTGTTCAAACTGGTAGTAACAGACCAAGCGTGACTTTCCTTGATTCTGACACGTTTATGGTCATCATTGCGCCCAAACCGTCTTCACGCCTCTTCTCCTTTCCTTCCAGATCATGCATGCCCCGCGGTCCAGGGACAGGTTCACAGCGCCCTCCTTCATCCAGAGGGATCGCTTCAGCCGCTTCCAGCCCACCTACCCCTATGTGCAGCACGAGATCGATCTTCCTCCCACCATCTCCCTGTCCGACGGTGAAGAGCCACCTCCTTACCAGGGGCCCTGCACCCTGCAGCTCCGGGACCCTGAACAGCAGATGGAACTCAACCGAGAGTCCGTGAGGGCCCCGCCCAACCGAACCATATTTGACAGTGATTTGATAGACATTGCGATGTACAGCGGGGGCCCGTGCCCACCCAGCAGCAACTCGGGCATCAGTGCAACCACCTGCAGCAGTAACGGGAGGATGGAGGGGCCGCCCCCGACGTACAGCGAGGTGATGGGCCACCACCCCGGCGCCTCTTTCCTCCATCACCAGCGCAGCAACGCACACAGGGGCAGCAGACTGCAGTTTCAGCAGAACAACGCAGAGAGCACAATAGTACCCATCAAAGGCAAAGACAGGAAGCCTGGGAACCTGGTCTGATTCCCTCCAACCTGCACTTCAGCTGGAGGAAGAAACCGAGGAGGGCGGCCGCCGGGCCCCCTGCGCAGTGTTGTTCAGTTTTACATGGTACAAATAAGTAAAACCAAATGAGCAAACACGGTCTTTGTTTCTGATTCCTTCTAGGGGAATTGCATGCAAACTAGACTGAAATGATACAAACTTCCGTCTGGTTTGACCGCAAACAGTGTTTATTTGGGGACAGGGGTTGGGACGGGGGTGTGGGCAGGGGAAAACAGAGAAAGGGATGCTTTGAAGAGATCATGAAATAAAACCCACAGAGGTATGTGATTTATTTAATTGTGAAAGGAGACTTTGCAGATACATGAGGCCAGAATGGCCTGTTTTATAATTAAGTGAGTAAAGAAGGAAGCATTATTATATATTATTGTGAGGAAGAACCAGCCAGTTTGCTTTTTCTCCTAAGGCGTGGAAGTTTTATGTTGTTTTAAAAATATGAATCAAAATTCCTGTTTTGTGTGCCAAGGTATAAAGTGGAGAAGTCAGATGCGTGCAAGGAGCGCCTTTGTGTTGTGATGATGTGTTTTCAAAGTTGCACTATCTTAATGTTGAAAATATTTACGAGGGAACTGTTTTGCGTGAAGTTCTGTATGTTGTCTTTTCACCTGTGGATTGTAATCAGGCCCAAGGAATATCCTGGAGTGGTCCCCAGAATCACCCAAGAAAAGACATTTGGGGATGTAGCCTAACATTTTACCAACTTACGTAAATCAAAAAAGTCATTATTGTTGCGGGAGTTTGCATCAAATAGCAGTGCGTCGCTGAAGCTTTTGGAGACACTTGGGTGGAAGACAGGGAAGATTAAGTTCCAGCATTTCTGACTTGTTATTTTGAGTTACTCTGCTAATCTTAGGCTGCATATTTTATGAGAAAATGAACACATGCATTTATGGATCCAGTATCATGCAGTGCTGCTCGCATCCTCCAGCAGTGCAATTTCTCCAGTAATTTAGATTTTTTCACTATAGCATGAAATATATTCAAATACATACCTTATTTTATGCAATAAATTGTTTAAAATGCAAGGTGGTTATTCTGCATACTGTTGAAATATGTGACTCCTCAGTATATTCCATTGCCTCGACAGCTTAGTTGAGTTCTGCAGGGGCTGCTCAGTTCACAGGAGGCTCCCAGCAGCCACCCCACATCCTGCCTACCGAGAACTTCGTGTGGGAGTGGTGTGGGTGGTGGTTTCTTATGCTTCGGGAGCCTCTAGAAATGACGGAAGAATGCCAAGTTGCTGATCATGGTAATAAGCCATTGTGTGTCACTAGTATTAGCACATTCTTAAAGGAATGCAGTGCTCAGAACACACCCAAATTCCTGCAGGATTCTACCAAACCCTTCCCCAGGCCAAGCTTTGCACTGAAGGCAGGAACTGGACCCTCCGAGAACAGTGGAGGGGGCAAGTGACTGAAGAGCGCCGGGTAAAAAGCACAACATGCAGTTAAAATGCAACTAGAAAACTAATTTTAAATATTGTTAGTTTTAATATTCCTGATATTCACAAATATTCATTCTTATGTACAATTAAAAAAATAACTTTCTTCTACAGATGTAAGCACTGGCTCTTGTAAGAGCAGCAGCCAACACGTTTAGCAGCCACTGCGCACGGAGAAGGGCTTGTCTGCAGCACAGTCTGCCATGTGGAGGGTGGGCCTGTGGCCTCTTCACGTAACACGATGAGCTGGAATGATGATTCCGTGACTCCCATCTATGCAGCTTTAAAGCCGAATCCGCGTGTGTGTGTCTGTGTCTGTGTGGATCTCGCAGGTGAGCCCCTCGGTGCGGTGGCTGTGCTGTCACTGGAGACTGTTCCAAACCCCAAGGGTTGTCTGACCCCTGTCTGTTCCCTTCTGCTGCTTACCGCTGTAGGTAGGCCACGGTTTTTGTTTGTTTTGAGGATTAGAAATTCCATTACATTCATCCTTTTCACACAGTAACATCCACAGAACTAGTCCAACTCTTAAAAGGAGAGAGGAAAAACAAGGGCACCAGTTGTCAGCTCCTGCCTACAACCCTGTGTGGAAGTATATACAGTTGAGAGTCACCGTGGAGGTTCTGAGACTGGACTCAGTCTTGTTCCAGTGACACTTGGAAGGGTCTGCTGGAGAGAAACCAGCTCTCAGGGCAGGGATTGGCTGGGGGCCAGAGAGGACCTTCCCCAACCCTGGAGACGCCCTGAAGGTTCTCTGGCTCCCCAGATGAGCCTCTCTTCCTCTGTCAGGCGAAGATGAGGAGCCCGTGTTCCCAGCGGGCCCTGCTGGCAGGGACTTGCAGTGGATTCTCGGTCAGGTGTGTCCACAGACGCGGGGGCGAGGTGAGTGATCCCATCATTCCAGTTCTCACTCGCAGGTTTGGGGAAGCAGGGGACGCAGTCCACAGCTCCAGCTCCCAAATGGCTTCGCAGTCCTTACTTCTCCACCTGCCTCGAAGGGGCTCAGAGACGAGACTTGTGAATTCCTTGGTAACTGCGAGTAATGAGTGTTTTGCACATGTCCACAGTGTGGGTGAGATAATTATGTAATTCAGATACCTTCAATCATCTTTCAAGAAAGAGGCTCCTCCCATTCAACCACCCTAGAGAACTGCCTTTGTTAAATCGTTATTTAAAGACATATATATCAAACCATGACTTTGAAAGGTCTTCGAGGCTGGGGCTCTGTAATGAATTAGTTTAAAAGCCGAGATCATAACATGAATTAATAGTCAATTTCCCTTCAGCACAAGGCAAAGGTGATTTGGATCAGTAGCTCTTTTGAAGGTTGTGGCTGACCTGTTCATACCGTGTTGCCTCATGGCTAGCGTGGTGTTGAAAGAGTGGTGATTGTGATGATACAGCTTACACAGTGGGGCCTATTGTTCTTTCAAGAACCCTTCTTTTAGCTTGTAGAACCCACGGGTCCAGTTTAATAACCGCTGATTTAGGCAATCAATGACAGGTTTATAATCTCAGATTATTCCAGCAAAGTGAGGATTGCATTGTTAGGAAGAACATCTGGTGGGAGTGAACACTGCTGGGCATACTGCTGACTTTTGTCCCTTGTTCCAGGTGTAGCAGACCCAAGGCATCTTGATTCCCATCTATAAGAACACAATCTTCCAGCATATATTTGTTTTTTCACAAGCTCTAGCATTCTTTTTAAATACTGAAGCAATCCTTAATGGAAAAGAGATTTCATGAAACGAATTATGTATTCCAATAGTTGATCTCTTTTTGGTGTCCAAAATTTACTAATACAGAAGCTTGACAAGCATGTCCTCACCCTCCCCACCACATACACACAGGGGGACACACCCAAGCCACAAGAAATCCCAAGAGAGCAGAGGAGAACTTTCAAAAGATTTATCATGCAGACGCATTTCCATTCACTATGTTGGCTCAAACTTATGAGGCAGGAAATAGGGGCCAAAAGTAAATGGGGGAGGCCTCCTGACACCAGCAGAGGAATTTTGTACCCAGGCAAGGACTTCCTGAACTTCTACATATATCTCCATCTGATCTCTTTCACCTTTATTTCATCTTCGTAAGAATGAGAAAGGCTCAAAAGGAAGCACTTTTAGAAAGCTGCTCTGACCTAGAAGAATTCATCCAAATCCCTGCCTTCCTCTCTGCACCAACAGTTCCCTTCTCTGACAGGGGCCATCCTCTATCTTCCATCCAGTGGCTCTTCTTTTTAGGGAGGCTCTGGTGCACAGCGCTTCAAACACGTCCTCAGGCCAGGTACTGGTCGCTAGCACAGAGACACACAGCACCCAGCCCCAGGCCCTCCCTCAAAGGACCGGCTCGTGGCGTTGGTCACTCGCAGGCTCAGAGACGTTCTGCTGTGGCCGCAGGGAGCCCGGCTGCCCACGCAGCCCTGACTGGATGCGCCCCCATCTCGGGGCTTGCTGCACTGCTCGCTTTTTGAATTCTGCTACTTAGAATGGCAACATTAACTTTGTGTACCATTCATTTTTTTTTAATTTCCAAAGCTCAGCCGTGTATGAGAGAAAAAACTGGGAAAGATACTTGGTTTCTGTTAACTTTTGCGTTTCTTGCTTAAGTGATTAAAGCCAGTGCTTGCAGCCAAGGCTTCATGCCATGAACATGCCCCACAGCCTGCCCTCTGCTCTCCTGCTCACACTGACCTACTGAGGTGAAAGGACAGTTGAAAGACAGATGGGCAAAGGGAAAACCTCCCCTTCTTGGTGCGAGGAAAGTCACAAATTAAATGTTGCTTCCAGCCCAGATCCTAAATGCCAGTTCTCAGCAGCTGCGTGGCTTACCGTTCACCAGTTCCACCACCGCCAGCTGCCAGCACCTCCAGAGATCAGAGATGTGAACAGAGTATGGAAAGCACTCTTAGCCTTGCAATGGTCTGTACTTTTTAGGAACCAAGAGTTCAGCATTCTTTGCTACCCAGCACGCGTGTGCTTCGCAGAGTTCACGTTTATGTTACTGCCAGGGTTAGACAGTCACTTGCTGCTGCTGCTTCCCGAACTGGGTGCATTAGGAAGCTGCTGTCTGAGTGTAGGAATGTCTTGCTGGGAAAGCAACGTCTTCCTTCATCCTTTTCTTTCTTCCCTCTGCGTGTCCTTGTTTTTGTGTAATGCGGGAGAGGGTTAGAGCTATAGAGATTATATATACACTATCCGTGCACATTATATATATGTAGATATAGACCCTATCATGTCAGAGATCTGCATGTCAGTTTTTCAGCAACGAAGGTGCCTCGTGTTCTGAGTTCAGCAGATACAGGAACCCAGCCGCCCCCTCCCGCACCTGATGCTCCCACCTTTGTTGTGCCTCACTTAAAATGGTGCTTTTTTCAGTTGTCTGTCTTTTCTTATGTTTTTATTTGTAAGGTGCTGTATATAAGTTGAATATATTATGCACATATCCTACCCAATGGGTAGAACAAGTTGTTAATACTGTAATATAATGTATAGATGATACCAATTTTAACAGAAATGGCATAGAATTTGTGAATGCCTATGTGCTTTGTCCTCTTTTGTAAGGAAATTTGCAAATGGATGCATACAGATTAAAGTCTATGTAGTTTATTTTCCTATTAAATATCAATATTATAACACGAGAAAGAAGTGTGAACAAACAAGCAACAGTTTATGACCAGCGTATATATAGCAATGGAAAGTTGCATCTTTGCTGTGAAAACACTTTAAAGAAAATACTTTTTAAAAAATCCCACAGCTTTTTGGTTGCCACTAGACGCTTCTTATTTGAATCATTTTAGTAATGCTCAGCTGGACCAGTGTTAGTTATATTTGAGTCAGAAAAATGTTGTTTTTCAACTTGCTTTGTAACCTCCTGCATCTATCTCCTGCTGTAGCATCACGAAGGTGTCAGCCTTAGTGAAAAGTGCACATTTTTGTTGTTAAATTGCAGAAACTGTGTCAGAGGAGTAAGTCAATCAGCCTGCAGCAGAGGACTCTGTTCAGCTCCAGAGGCATCTGTGACCATCTGTGTCCAAGTCTCTCTGTGCCTTTTTGTTTTACAAACTGCAGCTGTGGAGCCAATGAAGTAACAGTAGAGATTGTAGGGAAATACCTCAGGAAAAACACCCACTTACAAGAAGACCCTGTTCTTAGAAAAAGCGTTCGGTTATGGGTTAGCACTAGAAGAGACGTGGCTGCCAGCCAGTCAAGTGAGGACCTCTCATCCATTCCCACGCATGTCCCATCATAATCCTGACCCGAAAAGCAAACTCGGTTTTGCCATCAGTTAGAAATTACATTTTGAATTGTATATTGTTACATCTCTCTTCCAGCTTAGTTTTTAGTGTCTGATTGTGACCTCTGCATTTATCTTCAAATACCCTAATTTTAAAAAGAAAGAACGAGAGAAGTGTGTAACACCGTATTCATTAAAACCACGGTTGAATCTTGGGTGTGGGTATCCTTTTCGAGTGTTGTCCCATAAGAGCAGTTCGTGGAATTTTGCCCGTCTGACCCATATTATCAGCTTATTCTGCCACAAAAGTGGAGTCTAATAAATTCCAAAGTTTTTAGTTGCCCCATGGTGTATGTTCTTTGAAAATCACAATAGACTCATACCCCTAACATCCAAGAAACAAACAACCGATTATCCTTAAACTGAAATGGGCTCTACAAGGCAACTCCTAATGCTGAATGGATTAAAAGTCAGCCCTTTCAGGATCTGTCTGAAAGGGCTGTGAAAAGGTGACACTCGTGTTGTTGTGGACCCCGCGTGTTGGTTCCATCATATACTGTAGGGTGCCCCCCTTGGGATTCAGCATTAAGAACTGAGGCTCGTTACTGTCAGAAACAAAGCTCCTACCCCCAGGTTCAACCTTGTGGGAGAACTGTTGAGCATGAGAATGTTCTAGACTCAGAGGTACTGAAATTTGTGACCACATCATTGCTTCCTTTCTACAGGACGAATTGAGGCTTAAACTTGACTGTTAATGATACTGGTTCATTTGAATGTGCTCGTTGGTATGTTGCTATTTTTCATTTCATAGCTTTCAAAAATCATGCTACTTGTATACTTGTCTAGTTTAAGGCTATTTTAAAATATGTACAATACTATTTACAGCATTTAGTTCATTTTTATTATAAAGCAATCTACTAAAAAAGTACACCTGTATTTGAACTTTTCAATAGTTGGTTGTGAGCTATGATAAGTCATTAAAGTTTCTTTTAGCAAACATTTGTGCTTACTTTTCAACATAATTCCCAGTTCCATACAGAAAAAGATTTCCACCTGTCACGTATCTGCCTCTTTTACCTGAGCAATGGTGATGTAGTTCTTAGACCTAAGGTCTGTAATTGCAATACTTTTAAAGAAAGATGTTGCTCTAAGTGCTGTTTGTTAGTTATGAAATCAGATTTTTCTGCTTGTTCTTAATGCTGTGGTCAAACCATAGCACAAAATCATTAAAAATAATCAGCGGCATCCATTTGTCCCTTGGGTTTTTGTTTTTTCTTTATCTTTCAGCAACAAAGTACATGCATGGGGGAAATGCCGTGTGTTTTAAGACCTGTCTCAAAGAAACACTTCTTATGGTTCCCTGTCTAAACCTCCCATTCAGCTTGTGGTCACTCTGACTTTTCAAAAATCACTACTTCATATTCTACTAGAAGCAATTCTGGTCAGATCATGATTCCTCTCCCAGTGCTGGGTTCTACACAGGTCATTCAGACAGTCATCAGGTGCCCGCATGCGAGGAGTCCCCAGGGAAACTGCTCACCCTGCAGGAGGCGCCCAGGAGGACTTTCCAGAGGCCTCGAAGTCTTTGGGTGGCTCCCACACACAACCCACACGCTCAGCTGCCACACAGAACCCACACGCTCAGCTCCCACACACAGAACCCACACGCTCAGCTCCCACACACAACCCACATGCTCAGCTGCCACACAGAACCCAAATGCTCAGCCCAAATATGAACAAGATTCCTAACAATGGCAACTATTCCACAACAGAACAGACCTCCTCAGTGTGTTTTAAATTCTTTGGCATCGGAGGTCTCTAGTCAGTGATAACGTAACAACAGAAAGGCTCTAACTTTCCCACCCCAAGAGACTAGAACGGTATTATCTCTATGCTCTAAATAAGAATACGGGTTCACAGATGATGACTGTGTGTGCACAAAACCCCACCCAATCTACCAAACTACTAGGGTGGATTTAGCATGGTTGCAGGATATGCAATTTATTTTCGCATTTCTATGTACCTATAATGAGCAAATGGAAACTGAAATTTTGAAAATACCATTCAAAATGGTATGGGCCCCAAATCTGGGCATGGGCCTAAATTCTAATGGTACCTCCATTTTAGATTCTGATTTGAATTCTTTAAGATCATTTTGGAAAGGGGATTTGAAGAGAGCTCTAAGAAGGAGACAGCAAGGCAAAGTTTCTTTCCTGTCAAACAGCAAACAGTCACTAATGAACCACCCACACTCTGGAATAAATTCTGTAATCTCTGAACTCAGCAGACCACTAGAGAAATATTAAAGATACCCCCCAAATTTGCTAATGCTCACACTATGCAAACTTTGTTCCTGGAGACAGCTCTGCACAGAAGGAATGAGGGGAATCCAGGCTTGGGATCCCTGCTCCTGCAGACCACAAGCAGCAAATCCAGTAAAACCTGGGGCTGGCTTGTCACAGTGGAGACAGGGTTCGCCTCGCCCCCACTGTCCCTGGGAGGCTGTACCAGCTGTCACTTTGGAAGCTGTCTCAGAGCCAAGGGTGTGGGAGCTGTTAGCAGAGGAAACAGGCAAATGAGAGAGGAGAGAGAAAAGACAACGAAAGGTATATGCTGAGCTGCTTCCCACTGCGGGCCAAGGGGCTCAGCCACATTCGAGAAACCGTGCAGGCCGTGCCTCTCACCTGCCCACGGCTGCGGAGTGCCCTTCCAGGTTCACCTTCCCAGCCACCCTGGCTGTAGACTGAGCAAGCTGAGAAGGCTTCAGCAAAAGACCTGAGACAGAAAAACAAAAGCTTGGAAGTGCTTGGAAACTGCTGGTGCATAAAGGAACTGCCCGCTGTGGCTGGAGCTGGTGTGGGAGCCAAGAAGCACCTGGTTCAGATGCCTCAGAGACAGCGCAGACCAAGAGACTGAGAGGACGGGCAGGGGTGGAGGGGATGACGGCAGGGAGAGAGGGCAAGCGCATATGTCCAATGCCCACACCATTGCTTTCTGTCTGAACCCCTCCTTAACAATGGTCTCGACACCATCCTGCCCTGGGCCTCCTTAATGCTCCAAAGCTGGCGAATTTGGGGAGTTCTCCATTGTACTTCAGGGCCACCTGACTGCTCCCAAACCCCTCCAACTTCTGAAGCTAAGCAATTCCTGGCTTTCTTTCACCCGCTTATTTTAGTCATTTGTTTTGCAAACACAAGTGTCAACAGCTGAGCAGAATCCACCTAGTCACACACTCACCTGGTCAACCTCTCCCCAGCGCCCAGGGGGACACTCAGAAAGGCATGCTTGAAAGAATCCCTTGGAACCTTCCAGAGACCCACCCAGCGTGGGCCACGGAATAAAGCCCCCTGTTCTGCTCTCCCATGACGCCGCGTGCACAGCGTGTGAGTCTGTTGCTGGGAACATTCTAATTAGATTTCCTTCACTACACTGCCTTGATGTTTTGTTTGAATGGATTCTAATTCAAACACACATTTTAAAATAGCTTCCCAAAAGTCTTAATGTCATGTTTCTGTCAAGACTCTAGCTTTTGCCTTAATAATGCAAACCTCATTCACCCTACTTTACACTTTCATGTTAAAAAAATCAGAAGTGCAAAAGCTCACTTTTTGAACATAGCAGAGTGGTGACTAAAAATACTTTCAAAAGGACTCACTAGTAAGCACAGCTGTATATAGCGGCTCTCGTATAACTTCCCTGCTTACAAAGCCGTTTTCATTTACAGAGTTGTTTGTCTTCACTGTGACCAGTCATCTAGAAGCACAAAATGTTCTAGCAGCCTACACCAGCACCTAGAGCAATCCACTCCGCGCAGGCCCGGGGGTCCGGCTCCCGCACGGGTGGGCGCTGTCTTTGGTGTGGGATTCCCAGGTGATCCGGCTCCTTGAGTATTTCCTGCTTACAGTGAATGGGCAGCACAGGCTTTGAATCTCAATAGACTCGGGTGGTCTGAATGCTAGCTTCATCTCAAGTTAATTAACGTCCCTGACAGGTTTCAAAGTCTCATCTACAGAACAGTAACAGCGATACTTACCCGGCAGGACAGCTGTGAAGACCCAAGGAATGTGCACACCATAAGGCCTGACGTGGGGCTCCTCCATGGCTGTTATCGCTAAAACTTTCACCTTCTAGGCCGGGCGCGGTGGCTCACGCCTGTAAACACCATCAGCACAACTTTAGGGAGGACTAGGACGGCGGATATCACCAGAGTCAGGAGAATCGAGACAAATACCTGGCTACACAGGTGAAGCCCCCAGTCTCTACTAAAAATACAAAAATAGCCTAGCCTAGAGTGGACAGCGCCCTGATGGGGTCCCGGCTACTCAGAAGACTGAGGGCAGGAAAGGAAATAATATTGAACCCACCGGGAAAAAGGTGAGGGGTCAGTGAGCTGAGATCAGTGAGCCACTGCACTCCAGCCTCAGATGGACAGAGCGAGACTCCATCTCAAACAAAACAAAACAAAACAAAAACAATTAAAAAAACCTTTCATGTTCTAGATTTAAAATTTTTTTGCCCAAATACAACAGATTTGTGAATGCCCTCCACACTAAATGGCCGCAGCTTAAAATCTCAGTGAAATAGTCCCAGCACTCTGGGAGGCCAAGGGGGGCAGATCACCTGAGGTCAGGAGTTCAAGAATAGCCTGGCCAACATGGTAAAACCCTGTATCTACAAAAATACAAAAGTTAGCTGGGCATGATGGCGGGTGCCTGTAATCCCAACTACTCAGGAGGCTGAGGCAGGAGTATCGCTTGAACCCGGGAAAAGGAGGTTGCAGTGAGCTGAGATCATGCCATTGCACTCCAGCCTGGGCAACAGAGAAGACTCTATCTCAAAAAAGAAAAAAATCCCAGTGAAATAAACAGGTGCTGATTTTATACCTACATGAGTACCACAGGGGCTTATAGCACCCAGTGATAAGGTACAGACCAAGTCCCTGGGCCCAGAACTTCCTTTCCATGAGTTCGAGATCAGCCTGGTCAACACGGTGAAACCCTGTCTCTACTAAAAATACAAAAATTAGCTGGGTGTGGTGGTGGCCGCCTGTAAGCCCAGCTACTCGGGAGGCTGAGGCAGAAGAATCACTTGAACCTGGGAGGCAGAGTTTGCAGTGAGCCGAGATTGTGCCATTGCACTCCAGCCTGGGCAACAAGAGTGAAACTTCATCTCAAAAAGGTAATTCCTAACTTGCAAGGGAACACCTATCAATCATCAGGAAGCCATCAGGAGATTATTATTGGCTGGACAGAAACCTAAAGAGGCGGCAGTCTTACACTGCCGGGTCATCAGAAAGGAAAGGGAAATAGAAGGGAACCGCCAAGCAGATATTGAAGCCAAAAAAGCCACAAGGCAGGACCCTCCGTTAGAAATGCTTATAGAAAGACCCCTAGTGTGGGGTAATCCCCTGCGGGAAACCAAGCCCCAGTACTCAGCAGGAGAAATAGAATGGGGAACCTCACGAGGACATAGTTTCCTCCCCTCAGGATGGCTAGCCACCGAAGAAGGAAAAATACTTTTGCCTGCAGCTAACCAGTGGAAATTACTTAAAACCCTTCACCAAATCTTTAACTTAGGCATCGACAGCACCCCTCAGATGGCCAAATCACTATTTACTGGACCAGACCTTTTCAAAACTGTCAAGCAGATGGTCAGGGCCTGTGACATGTGCCCAGGAAATAATCCCTTACACTGCAGGCCGTACGTTTCAATCCCTATATTTTTTAACCTCCTTGCTGTTTGTCTCTTCCAGAATCGAAGCTGTAAAACTACAAATCGTTCTTCAAATGGAGCTCCAGATGCAGTCCATGACTAAGATCTACCGTGGACCCCTGGCCCAGCCTGATAGCTCACGCTCCGATGTTGCTAACACGGAAGGCACCCCTCCTGAGGAAATCTCAACTGCACCACCCCTATTACGCCCCAATTCAGCAGGAAGCAGTTAGAACGGTCGTCTGCCAACCTCCCCAACAGCACTTGGGTTTTCCTGTTGAGACGGGGACTGAGACACCGGACTAGCTGGATTTCCTAGGCCAACTAAGAATCCCTAAGCCTAGCTGGGAAGGTGACTGCATCCACCTTTAAACACGGGGCTTGCAACTTAGCTCACACCCGACCAATCAGGGAGTAAAGAGAGCTCATTAAAATGCTAATTAGGCTAAAACAGGAGGTAAAGAAATAGCCAATCATCTATCGCCTGAGAGTACAGGGGAGGGACAATGATCGGGATAGAAACCGAGGCATTGGAGCCGGCAACAGCTACCTGCTTTGGGCCCCCTCCCTTTGTACGGGAGCTCTGTTTTCGCTCTATTAAATCTTGTAACTGCAAAATAAATAAATAAATAAATAAATAAATAAGTAAAACGTGTTTCTTCTACTCCATTATTTTAGCTATATAGTTGTTGTTTTAATGAAGCACACTGCAGTGGGGCAGGGTTTATTACAGCCTTTGTAACAAAATGTGAAAACCCAGGACCGTGGGAGAATAAACGGTTCCAAATCATTTGGCTTCTTGCCTTGCTTCCCCCACACCCTCTCCTGCCCTTCCTCCTTTCCCCTGGCTTTCCTTGTCTGAAGGACTCAGGGAAAGCACACGTGGGTCTGGGCACCGTCACTCTCCATTCTCTCCACCTGCCTAGCACTGTCCTGAAGCAGCCCTGGATGTACCCAGGGCCCTTGGGCAGCCTCTTCTGCTGATGGGCCTTCTCGTTCTGCATTCCCTCCGCTGACACTGGCCCACCCGCCTCCTTTCCTTTGGGCATGGTACGTGCAAGCACTTAGCCTTGTGCCTTACTGACAATTCCACTCTAAACCCCAGAACACATTCTTCCTGTCTCTCGCTCTGTCTCTCGCTCTGATACTTCCTCCACCATCTGCTGGTCTCCCTCTGTGAGGGTTCCAGCCAAGGAGAACTGGAGATGGGAGAGGCAGGGTGCCTCCACCCGCTGGGTCCTCAGCAGCCTGACGGAGGGGCCACTGCCCCTACAGCGTTCTCACCACACTTGCTGTTTAACCATGAGTGACAAAGGCAAATGCCACACAGCAATTCTAAGCCCATCAGCTGCATGAGACACCAAACCCCGCACACAGACACTGCGGGGGGCACAGCCTGGCTGGGTAGCAGGCGCTGCAGTGCAGAACTGCCCAGATGGCACATGAGGGGCCAGGGTTTTGTCTGCTTTGCATTTTATTGTGGTAAAAATACTTAACATGAGAGCTACCCTCTTACCACATTTTTAAGTGTATAATACAGTACACATTTTGTTTTAAGGCTGGTAATTTTCATGGAAGTCAGAGGCCAACCTCTGTATTTTGGTGAAAACTAACAGTTCTTAATCTGAACTACTCAGCACTAAAATTTTCCACAAATGCCAGCTCCTCATTACTTCAGATGTTCCAGTGATTGGTAGCAATTAAGAGGAAAATTCCAATCTGAGCTGGCTCCCAGTATGCCCCAAGTACAGGATCGGAAGCTGTGACCACTGTCTGACCCTCCTCATGGCAGCAAAACACGAAACAGCAAACTCAGTTTGTACCAGCAGGGCAACGGGGAATTTCCTGAGGTCAAATCCTCCTTGGATGTGTGAAATATTTAAGCTTAGACATAAAGAAACTAGATTTAATAACTGTTTCCATTACTTGCCTTCTAGTATGGATTTGGATGTTTCAAAATAGTGGCCGAGCACAGCAGTTCACACCTGTAATCTTAGGGAGGTCAAGGTGGGAGGATTGCTAGAGGCCAGGAGTTCAAGACCAGCCTAGACAACAGTGAGACCCCTGGCTCTACAAAAACCAAGCAGAGAAACAAACAACAAAAGTGAAATGAGCTGGGCTTGGTGGTGTGCACCTGTGATCCTAGCTACTTGGGAGGCTGGGGTGCAAGGATTCTTTGAGCCCAGGAATTTGAGGTTGCAGTGAGTTACGATCCTGCCACTGTGCTCTGGCCTGGGTAACAGAGCCAGACTCCGTCTCTAAAAAAATAAATATTCAATTAAAAAAAAAAGAAAAGGGGCTGGGTGCAGTGGCTCATGCCTGTAATCCCAGCACTTTGGGAGGCCAAGGCAGGTGGATCACGAGGTCAGGAGTTCAAGAGCAGACTGGTCAAGATGGCGAAACCCTGTCTTTACTAAAGATACAAAAATTAGCCAGGCGTGGTGGCGGGCACCTGTAATCCCAGGTACTCGGGAGGCTGAGGCAGAGAATTGCTTGAATCTGGGAGGTGGAGGTTGCAGTGAGCTGAGATCACGCCACTGCACTCCAGTCTGGGTGACAGAGCGAGACTCCATCTCAAAAAACAAACTCTCTCTCTATATATACATATATACATGGAAATAGTTACCTAACGGCTTTGCCAACACCAAGCTCACCCAGAAAGTGACAGACATCACTGAACTGGCTCACATAAGTCTCCCATCTCACGGTCCATCCCAGGTGAGGGAGAAAACGAAGCTGGAGCACGAGAGATTTTAATAAATACATGTTTCCTTCCTACAGTCAGAAACTGAGGTCACAGAACAGTGACTATCTTCCCATCCCATCACTTTAAAGACAAAAAGATGAAGAGATCTAAAAGAAGCTGAAAGCTAAGCTAAAGAAGATGAAAGCACCAGCAGAGGAGGAAGCTAAGGAATATTTATAATAAATTGACTTGAGCTTCTGTCTCCAAGAATACAAGGGATTTCAGAAGTCTTAAAGTCTGGCCTCTTACCTGAATAATTGGCACCACAGGAAAGCACTAAACGGGAAGTTGAGATCTCAATTTTAAATCCAGTTCTCTTGTGCTTCTTTCTTCAACTAAAAATACTGGTTCTAATGTGACCCATGAAATGGCTGGTTCTATAGGTGTAGGATTTGATTTATGTTGCAAAAAACTATTAATTTAAAATGTGTTTGAAATGCAATTAATGATTGTTTCTCAACAAAAATTGCATTAGGTTTTGTGGACATATTTGTTCCATAATATTCTCAACATTTTTGTTAGAATATGAGACTTTTATTTCAGGACTAAAAGAAGTGAGGAATGCAAACTGCGACGCACTGCATCCTGCATCTTCTTGAATAATGAGAGGATAAGAAGTGCATGCTGATGCAATGCTATGGCAACAAAGCCCTGTAATTCCAGCTCCAGGCTGCAGCTGAGTACGTGAGGACTTCTGGTACCCTTATAAGAAAAAGAACCAGAGTCGCCACTATTCTTAGTAAAGCAACTGCGCTAATTAAGTCACCATATTAAGTGTCCAAAGAAAACACTGACTCAAATGGAATAAAATACACACTAGTCGAAATATGCTTCAGCCATTAGAAAGTCGCAAATCTTGTACATAGACGGGCACAGACAGTAAGGCTGGAATACACGTGTATGAGAAAATGCCATGTGTTCATTAAAAAAAAAAAAAATCACAGGTTTTAGAGTTAAACATCTAACTGGTGTAAGAGAAGATACAGAATTGCCATGATTTCTTATCCCATGCTTAGAACAGCCTTTATGGAACTATCCAAACAGAGGATAAGGCTGACTTTTGCCATGTATTTGATTAAAAAATAAGGGGAAGTTCATTTTATCAAAATAAAAAGGATGAAGTTTAGGTTTTAAGTTTAGGTTTCTCTAAGAACTAAAAATGACCTAGTATCAGTCAAATGCAGCTGGAAGTTCACCGTCCTCCTCTTTGTGGAGACAGCATGCCTATCCACCCCTAGAGACCACAGCAGGGAGGTCCACACAGAAACGTCAAGCAGGCCGGGTGCGGTGGCTCAAGCCTGTAATCCCAGCACTTTGGGAGGCCGAGACGGGCGGATCACGAGGTCAGGAGATCGAGACCATCCTGGCTAACACGGTGAAACCGCGTCTCCACTAAAAAATATAAAAAACTAGCCGGGCGCGGTGGTGGGCGCCTGTGGTCCCAGCTACTCGGGAGGCTGAGGCAGGAGAATGGCGTGAACCTGGGAGGCGGAGCTTGCAGTGAGCTGAGATCCGGCCACTGCACTCCAGCCTGGGAGACAGAGCGAGACTCCGTCTCCAAAAAAAAAAGAAACGTCAAGCAGTACGTGGACCTGACATGCTCAGGGCAAATTTGTCTTTTTCTTTCTCACTTCAAAGTTTTTCTAACATTTACATTATTCAAAATCCAAAACAGAAGAAGCTGGACAGAGGGCGGGAGACGGAAGGAAAAGACGAGAGGTTGTGTTCAATCCTCACTTTCAAGGAGAGTGAAAATCTGCTTCGGCGGCAGGCAGGATGCATCTAACTGTGCTCAGCTTTTCTCATGGGGCATGTTGTCCCGGAGAAAACACAATGAAACGTGCTTCTCCAGAAGCACCCTTCATCCGTAGAGACGTGATACTCTGAGAATGCCTCTGGCGGCCTGTGCATCTCTCTACTATGACTGTCCAATCAAGTCACTAGAATAAAGAACAGGCTTCATGATATCCTCTGCCCTGGAGTTTTCTGAAATCAGGATGCATTCTTTCTACTAAGGAAATAATTCTTATCATAATTGCCACGGGATAATTATGATCTAAAATTACTATTGTTGGTGACTGTCAATGATGCATAAAGAAGAATACAGCTTGATTTTCAAAGCCTAACCCTGAAGAAGCAAGACAATTAAAAGCTTGTTTTGACTAGTTAAAATGAACAAACTTGACACAAAAGTCACAAAGGAAAAATTCTACAGAGGGAAAATATCATCAACTGGCCTGACTTGGCATTTCTCTAAAACAAGTTACAAGCTCCAAGTGCAGGGGAAAGACCTTTCAAGAACCAGAAGGTCAGGCCAAAATTCATGACTGCAGAGGAACTGTGGGAAGCAGGTGTGGTCTCCCAGACCCTTCAAGGCCAGAAAGGAAGAAAGAGGTCATGACTCCCACTGTCTTCAGGGAACATGATGCAGCACGTTCTGCAATCTCATGTAATAGTAACTTGATACCACGTAACATACAAATGATCCAAAAGAGAACAACGTTAACATCTGCAAAATGAACACGATGCAGCACGTTCTGCAATCTCATGTAATAGTAACCTCATACCACGTAACATACAAATGATCCAAAAGAGAACAACGTTAACATTTGCAAAATGAACAGGTAAAATTCCCCACCTCTGGTTCTGTAGATTTCTGGCTCAGGTGGTTGAATTCCAAGGCAGGCAGTGAAGAGGCTCCCACTTCCCAGAGTGCACATGTGCCCCTCAGGCATCTGGGCCAGTATGATCCGACGCACTGTGTGACCTTCATGCTCATAAGGACAATTGAGTAGAGCTTTCAGTACCAAGAAATATAAACGACTTGCAAAAAAGATATTTAAACAGGCGCAAACAACTTGGATAACATTTAATTTATTTTATGTTAGGCCTTACAGAGACTCAATTTTGAAAATCAAAAATAAATGAAGGCCCTCATTTCAAAAAATGAACTTTGACCAACAGAAAAAATATGTTCACATCACCTAACAATCTGTATTTTCAGAAGGAACCCTTTAATTCAGAAATGCATGTCTCACAGAAACGTCTTCTCAACATATCATTTCCGAAAAAGCAGGAAAGATGACTTTTTTTGCCTCATTGGCTAAAAATCATCTTCTGTCCAATCCATTACAACTATCTTTTACAGTAGCCTGATTTACGTCTGAATTAGTTAAGAAATCCTGAATGACCCAAACCCAACACTAAGAACACAGAAAGAAGCTCCGTGTGTCAAACATAAAATTTCCTTCTTTTCTTCAAACACCTGTTCTGCTCATACCATTAAGATCTTTAAAATTCCTGGAATTATCTTCTAAGATCACTGAAACAAGAGAGCCACTATCTCCATTTCATCCTGAGCATAAAGCACTTGTAAATGAGTGTAGATTCTGTGACAAATAAACACATGATTATATTTCAAAGGATAATTTATTATTTTCACTACTGGGAGGTAGGTAATCTCAATGTAAGCATTCTTTTTCTCCTTTCTTGAAATCTGTAAACAGCACCCTGTGGTATGCACAAAAGGCTGTCTCAGTAAAATACATTTTTTCATGTGGTTGGTTTTGCTCTTATTCCTGAATAAACTAAGTCTCTCACTTAATCCATCTTTCACTTCAAATACCAATTTGCTTAGCAAACCCTTTTTGTGCATTTCACAGAGGCGAATCTCAGTCCCAGCTCCCTCCCCACCCGGTCAACATACCTTGCATAAACGCAGACATGCATTTAGCCAGCCATGGTGGTGTGCACCTGTAGTCCTAGCTACTCAGCATGCTGAGGTGGCAGGATCACTTGAGCCAGGAGTTCAAGACTGCAAGTGAGCTATGATCATGCCACTGCACTGTAGCCTGGGTGACAGACTGAGACTCTGTCTCAAAAAAATAAATATAAATGTAGACATTCAACGAGACACGGGCCTGCTTCTGCCGAGCACTCGCAGTTCACAGAGGTTATAGGTGAATTAATCCCAACTGTAAGATGTACTGTAAATGAAATGAGGTCTATTATATATAGCGAACTATAATTTATTGTATATATTCTCAATTATTTAACGTGGCATATTGGTACTATATTCTGTTAGCCTGCTATTAATACTCCCAACTCAACATACTACTGGGGTCCCTGAAGCTTAAAGACTAGGTTAGCAATATGCTGGCAACAGCATCTTTGTAACATTCCTGGTGCCAAGTAATACAACAGAACTTCTCACATCTCCAGAGAATTTTTTACTAGAGAATTTCATATCACTCAAGCAGTACCTCATTGTCTATTAGATAAACACAACATGATTATGAAACTGGATGGCAACAAAACTCAAATGGACTGAACAAAAGATGACTATGCAGGAAAAGCAAATTTCAGTTTCAGGATTATTAGTAATAAGAACCTCCAATTTATCCCCACTGGAAAATATGCAACACGAAAAGCAAAAGGAAATTGTTTTAGAAGAATTTCATATAACACAAGATTTTAACACAGGCAGTCTCCAGTGGTTAAAAAGAAAAAAACCAGGAATGTGTTTAGTATCTAAAAAATAGCATTTAAATATGCAAAAGTGTGAATTATTTGGTAAATACTTAAAACATGTCAATCATGTTTAGGTTTGAAAACGTGGCGTCAGTGTGAAGCATTCAGCCCTCTGTGTCAGGAGACAACGGAGCTGCCCGCCAAGACTGCCGACGGCAGAGACACAGCCGCATCTCCCCCAGGAAGAAAGATTCCAATCACAGCGCATTCATTTAAAAAGCATTCTAATATAATAATCAGACTCGTCAAATGCAAACTTTTTTTCCCCTTTAAACTACTCTTTAAATTTGGCCAAACTAAGTACTTGATACAAAAATGCTGGCAAAGAGCAGGGGTCCCTGCAGACTGTGTGGCAAACCCTGACATCCTCTTGCCTTAGCAGGTAAGTTAAAACAAGGACAATCTAAAAGGAGGCCATTCCCTCATCCAATTAGCAATGGAAGGGTTAGAACTGAAATAATCACTGTTAGAGCATAGGAAACAGACACACACATACTCAAACACACCCCACCACCCCAGCAACGCTCACAGCTGACAATGGCTGAATTTCATTACAAGCAAATGATTTAATTATAGCTTTGTTATTTAAAAAAAAAAAAAAAAATCAGCTGGGCGCAGTGGCTCATGCCTGTAATCCCAGCACTTGGAGAGGCTGAGGTGGGCGAATCACGAGGTCAGGAGATCAAGACTATCCTGGCTAAGACGGTGAAACCTCATCTCTACTAAAAATACAAAAAATTAGCCGGGCACAGTGGCGGGTGCCTGTGGTCCCAGCTACTCGGGAGGCTGAGGTCAGGAGTTGGAGACTAGCTTGGTCAATATGGTGAAACCACACCTCCACTAAAAATACAAAAATTAGCTGAGTGTGGTGGCACACGCTTGTACGCCCAGATACTTGGAAGGCTGAGGTGGGAGGATCACTTGAACCTGGGAGGCAGAGGATGCAGTGAGCCAAGATCACACCACTGCACTCCAGTCTGGGAGAGAGAGGGAGGCTTCGTCTCAAAAAAAATTAAAAAATAAAAAAATTAAAAATCAAGTAGAATGCTCAAACAAGGATAATTTCCCTTCAATGCAAGATAAAAAGCAGCAGCCACAATTTAAAACTTTACTCCATAATGAAATCAGCATGAATTCTGAAACGAAGACACTGGGAAATTGCACTGGTTTGCAGAGGGAAGGCCCGTGCCTACCCCAAGGAGTTAGCAGTCTCCACGACAACCGACTCCATTTTTAGTCTCCCAACCTTTGTCTGCTTGAGAACCATGAGCTTGAGTTACTGCTGAAAAACATTTGATTTTAACAATAAATTTAAGGTTTAATGATTGTTCACCTTTCCTCTGAAAGATCAGGTGAAAAGGACACAAATAATTCATGAGAGGTTTATGTTTGAGGCAATCACCACCAACACACACTTCGAAAAATACCATCACCATATATATATTTGCTTAAAAAAATTATGACAAGCTTCAGGTAAAAATAATTTTTAAAGGGTCCATTTTTCATTTACGTACAATCAATACATCGTATTTACATATATATGACTGAATCTTTATTCTATTTTCTTCATATATTTTAACTGGTAGGTAACTGCTCTATTCTGTTTTTATAGAAAGACTAAATACCTTCTTATTCACAGGCAGTTTGGATGATGCTAGTTTGTCTCCAAATTACATACTGAATATAGTTAAAACCTTAATGAATAACATAAAAATTAAGATCCAGTATTAGCTTATTTTATGGGTCTCACTGGTTATTCCAGGAGTCAACTGCCTCTAGTGTGCATCAATTACAGCTGCAACAAAACAGAAATCAAGTGTGGTTCTGAAGACCTGGAAAAAGAAGTATGACTTCTACGACGTTCACCACTGCTTAATACTGCTACTGATGGGAAATTCTTACACTGGGTTCATTTCTTTCCTTGTAATAACACTGATTTTTCTAGTGATATTTAACTTTAAAAAGGTATTTTACTTCTTTAACCCTCAGAGAACTTGTATATTTAGACAACTAACCAAAAAAATAATCAGACACACGTATCTTTGCCCACAGTTTCCAAAGGGTTAAAGTGCAGGAATTTTCCATACTGCTATACTTCTATACTGCTGTAAGGCACCTTATTCCACTTTTTTCTTAAAGGAAACTTTTTCTTTGGTTTCTTGTAACTTCTCAGTGAGTCTGTCTTTTGTTTCTTCCATCTTCTCTGTGATAAGCTCCTTTGTCTCCTCCATCCTGTCCTGTAGATACTCCTTGACGGGTGGTGGCGTGGACATGTAGCCACGACTGCGCAGATATTTCACAGTGAAGGATGTTCCTCCCAAAGTCACGGTATACCGAGCAGGTGTTGCAATCTTAAGCAAAAAGCAAACAGAGACAAATTAAAATCTGGTTATTACCATCATCTTAAGCAAAAACAAGTTAAAATTAAAATTCTTGGTAGTAACCAATCAGAATAAATTGCCTCATTGTTTCACAAAGCTAATGTAGTAATATCCTATGTGGTTTTCCCTCCTAACAAGAGACACTTCTTCTGTGAACTCATTTTATGAACGTTTGTCCTCCACACAATCCTGACCCAGATAACAGAATCATACCACTGACATCCCTAATCGCATGCTAGTAAACTTGGGGAACAGCTCAACCTGGAAATCAGAAACAGGACTCAGTACCACTAAAAATAACAAAGGAACACATGTTTCTATTCCTTAAAACTCCTGCCATCCTGCCAAATGCTTTCTATCTGGAGCTAAACTAGAACTGAATGTCTTCAAATGGTGAGAGGCAGAGCATGAATCCACTCTCTGTTGGATTTAGGTTAGCTTCACTTCCAAATCCCTTTCCTTCTACCTTCTCATTATAATCTACCTTGAGTCTCAAATCCTAGCCAGTAATTTACATGAGGCCAAAAGTAGTAAAATGCCACACCTGCTGCAGATATGCACAGGTTTAACGTTAATCGGAACTTTTAGGACCAATGGTAAATAGCAGATGACTGGTCAAAGAAAAACATAAAAGTAAAAAGGCTGCATCACATATCTAAGTCAAAAATCAGGCCGGGTGCAGTGGCTCATGACTGTAATCCCAGCACTTTGGGAGGCTGAGGTGGGTGGATCACTTGAGTTCAGGAGTTCAAGACCAGCCTGGTCAACATGGTGAAACCCAGTCTCTACTAAAAGTACAAAAATTAGCCGGGCATGGTGTCAGGCACCTGTAATCCCAGATATTCGAGAGGCTGAGGCAGGAGAATCGCTTGAACCCGGAGGCAGAGATTGCAGCGAACCGAGATCGCACCATTGCGCTCCAGCCTGGGCAACAAGAGTGAAGCTACCTCTCAAAAAAAAAAAAGAAAATTCATAGGTGTTGGCAGGTACAATGGCTCACGCCTAAAATTCCAGCACTTTGGGAGGCTAAGACAGGAGGAGTGCTTGAGTTCAGAAGTTCAAAACTAGTCTAGGGAACATAATGAGACCGTGCCGTCTCTTAAAACAAAAAGAAAAAGAAAGAGGAAAAAGAAAAGAAAAATAATTAGCCGGGAGTAAGTGGCATGCACCTGTAGTTCCAGCTACTTGGGAGGCTGATGCAGGAGGACTGCTCAAGTTTAGGAGTTTGAGGCTGCAGGGAGCTGTGACTGCACCACTGCACTCCAGTCTGGAAAACAGAGCAAGACCCTGTCTCAAACAAAACAAAACAAAACGCATAGGTGTGCCGTATAACAAAACTCTGAAAGAGCTGTCTACTCTATCTCTAATTTCTCTTCTAAACACGTTAAGCAAGCTTTCACCCATACCTCTTCACCAAAACTGCTTTCAAAGTCACAGTGACCTCTACAAAACTAAATCCAGCTGTCAATTTGGAACCAGCCGCTGAACCACTGGAACCATCCAAGACAGCTTTCACTTCTCTTCACTTGGCTCCAGGCCCTCAACTTGCTGGGCTTCCTTCTGGTTCATGGCGGCTTCTCATTTTTGCCAGTTCCTCTCTTTTCACCCACCTCTGAACACGGTGTGACAACAATCGATCCCTGGACCTCTTATTTTCTCTACCTATCTCACTGTCTGGTCTTTAGTGCCGTCTATACATGGATGATTGTTAACTTTAATCTCCAGACTGAACTTGTCCCCTGAATTCCAGTATGTACAACCACCTCCGGAGATTTGCATGTCTAATAAGATCTCAGACTTAATGCAGGTGAGTCACTTAATAGGGACACGTTCTGAGAAACGTGTCATTAGGTGATTTTGCTGTTGTGTGAAACACCACAGAGTGTTTGTTGTTGTGTGAAACATCACAGAGTGTACTTACACAAACCTAGACGGTACAGCCCCGTGCACACCAGGCCACAAGGTACAGCCTACTGCTCTTAGGCTGCAAACCTGGACAGCACAGCACTGCGCCGAATACAGCAGGCAATCGTAAGACCACAGTAAGTATCTGTGTACCGAAACTATCTAAACATAGAAAAGGCAGAGTAAAAACATGGTGTTCATAAAAACATGGGACCTGTGGGACCATCACTGTCTGCAGTTCACGGTTAACCGAAATGTTACCGGGTGGCACATGACTGCATGTTCAAAACTGACCTTCAGATCTTCAACTGTCCTACTTCACACCTGCTCCTCTCAAAGTCTTCCTCATCTCAGAAAATGGCAATTCTATTCTTCCAGCTGCCCAGGCCAAAAACTTACAAGAAAGCTTCAATCCCTCTTTCTCTTCCATAATTTATATCCAAATCATCAGAAAACCCCAGCAACCACGTCTTTAAAATACATTGAGAATCCAACTACTTCCTGCTACCACCTGGCTTCTGGCCAGTTTTGCCTCTCGACTCAAGTACTGTAATCACCTCACCTCACACCAGGTCCCTTGGCTTTTCCCTTGGTCCTGCCATGGTCTGTTTAGAGGAGCCAAAGTGATTTTGATGGAACAGAAGCAGGATGCTTAAAATTGTCCAGTGGCTTTCCCTGTCCTCAGGGTAAAAAGCGAAGTCCCTGTAAGAGCTGACAAGGCTTTCCTGATCTGACGACACGCCATTCTCTGCCCTGTTCACCGATTCCAGTCACACTGGCTTCCCTGCATCCCTTAAATACTCCCAGGATCCCGCAGCCTCAGAACTTGCCTTTCGAGTTTTCTCTGTTCGGAACGCTTCTGCCTCTTGGAGGAGCAACTATCTCACCTTCTCAGCAAGGTGTGCCATCTCCCACTGAAAAACAAACACCACAAACACACCCCCATCCCTGGTTTCCTTTCTCAGCACTTACCATCATCTATGTGCACATACTTTGTGTGTGCAGCACTTCTAACTGTATCTTGTCTCCCCAACCCACCATCACTCACAACACTGTCTGCTCCACGAGGCAGGTATTTTGCACTGTCTTCTTTGATTCATTTACTCCCAGTACCTAGAATGGTATCTGGCACACAGAAGAGGCTGACTAAAACTCTGAGTGTATTTCAAAGAGATTATGAGGCAGTCAGTGTATACATCCTGCAGCCACCTGCCGCCAGACCATACATGCCATACTTCATTTGGGGGCTTTGTCTTGATGAAGCAAAAAATCTGTGTCTGTTGTTCTATCTGAGAAACTATGGGTTACAGATAACACACAGGAGAATCCCCTCCATATCCCCTACTTCGCAGAGGAATAGTGAGGGGGAAGAACCACCACTGGCACTGATCTTCCTACCATGACGCCTACAGCTTCGTTTTCAATCCCAACTCCACAAACACATGCTGAGCATTTTATTCACCTACAGAACACAATACCAGGTGCAGTGAAAAAACAACAAGAAAGAAGACATGATTCTGAATTCCTGGGAGCTCCTAATCAAATAAAGAAAACAAACACTTAACACCTAGCACAGACTGTGCTATCAACTGTCATGCTATGGGAGTGGGCTAAGGAGCAATTAAATTAGGGAAGGTTTACATCAGCATGATAGTTTGACTTACTCGGGTTAAAGTTATACCCACCATAACTAGAAACTTGGTAATTTTTAAATTTAATACACTTTAATGTAGAAAAACTCAACAATTAAATGTTAGCCCTCTCATCAAAATTGTAATAAAAGAGGAAATCTACCAAGATTTCAGAGGATGCTAATGAGGATGACAGAATGAAACAATGCTACTTTTCAGTAATGCTATAAAACCGTAATTCTTAGATATTCTTATACAACAGAAGTAAAATAAAACATCTAGTTTCTCAGTGTTTTCCACCTTCTTAGGTAGAAGTTTCACAGACTCTCAAAAATATTTGTCAATTTAGAAAATGAGATTAATATGGCTAAACTCCACAATTTACAGTGAGTCTTTCCTTCCAAAATAAAGACCCATAGGCATAGAAGCTATCAAGATGACGTTGTCAGGCCAGGTGCAGTGGCTCACGTCTGTAATCCTAGCACTTTGCGAGGCCAAGGGCCGGCAAATCACCTGAGGTCAGAAGTTCGAGAGCAGCCTGACCATCAGGGAGAAACCCCGTCTCTACTAAAAAAATTTGAAATTAGCCAGGCACGGTGGCACACGCCTGTAATCCCAGCTACTCGGGAGGCTAAAGCAAGAAAACTGCTTGAACCCAGGAGGCAGAGGTTGTGGTGAGCTGAGATCGCGCCATTGTACTCCAGCCTGGGCAACAGGAGCGAAACTCTGCCTCAAAAAAAAAAAGATGATGTCTGAATCCAGAGAATAGTTATAAAGATTATCAACTTTTAAAATGAAACATATGTTAGGTTAAAATCTAACAAAAAAGGGTTTATAAGACAATTTGGATTAAACCTATTTTACTTGCTAAGAAAAGATCAACTATTAAAAACAGTAAAATAGGGGACCTCCTGTTTCGGCTTTGGAGGCCCCCCCACTTCTGTCTCTGTACAGGGGAGCTTCTTCCTTCTCCCTTCCTTCTTGCCCCTTCTTGCCTATTAAACTCTCTGCTCCTTAAAACCACACACAGAAAACAAAACAAGACAAAAAACAGTAAAATAAATGCTAAATTTTGCTAACAAGTCAGGTGGCATGCAGATCACAGAATAAGAAAAATAAATATAATTAATATCTTAAAATAACTGTATCTCCATTTATCAACAGGAGCAAAAATGTCAAACAGACGGCTAGTGCCGTGGAAAATCACACAAGTCTAACAACTATCTGATCACAGCAAGTTATGGATCATCTACCAATTTTTAAGGCATTTCTTCCTAAAACCACATTTTTACTTCTGCTTTATTTTGTTATCTTGTACTCCCAGCCACTCGGGAGGCAGAGGCAGAAGAATCACTTGAACCTGGGAGGCGGAGGTTGCAGTGAGCTGAGATGGCGTCACTGCACTCCAGCCTGGACAACAAGAGTGAAACTTCATCTCCAAACAAAAAGAAAGTGTTATCTTACATTATTCACCAGACATATCAGAGATGAAATAGTGTTTCAAGTTACAAAATACAATCGGAAGCTAACACGGAGTCTCATGGGGAGATGACCAGGCCACTGGTGAGGTCTGAGGAGCAAGGGTTTGTCACAGTACCCACCTTAAACAAGGCATACGCTGTGAGTGCATTTCCACTCTGGGAGTTTTTCAGGATGCTTACCACACTGTCAGGTAACCCAATGAGTTCTAGAAAAGGAACGACATTCACTCCTCTACAAAAAAAAAAAAAAAAAAAAAAAAAGGGTAACTTTCATATGTACAAACTTTTAAGGATATTTTCAAAAATTATCTGAAAATACCAAAACCACACTACAATTTTACTAAATTTTGCTTAAAAGTTGATTCTACATTATCAAGCACTTTACCTTTACTCTAAGAGAACATCTTACTTGATGTACAAAATGCAACATACACACAAACATCACATCACGTGGTATCTCACCGCCTACAACTCCTATTTGCTTCATGTGGGCATCCTAGTATGTTTAGAAAAAGAGGCAGTTATTAGAATAAAATTAACACCTTTAAGTAAAGTATGAGAAAAGGATTAGAATCATCTGCCTGGTCTTAGTTTCCTCAACCAAACACCACTGCCTTAGAATGCTCCAACTCAGACTTTAAGACCTAAAATTTTTACCTTTAAAATTACATGTGGTTTTTTTTTTTTTTTTTTTTAGACCGAGTCTTGCTCTGTCGCCAGGCTGGAGCGCAGTGGTGCAATCACAGCTCACTGCAACCTCTGGCTCCCAGGTTCAAGCGATTCTCCTGCCTCAGCCTCCTGAGTAGCTGGGATTACAGGCACGTACCACCACACCCAGCTAATTTTTGTATTTTTAGTAGAGATGGGGTTTCATCACATAGGCCAGATGGTCCCCCCCTCCTGCCCCCATGACCCCCCCGCCGCAGCCTCCCAAAGTGCTGGGATTATAGGCGTGAGCCACAGTGCCCAGCCAATTACATGTAATTTTATGTGTAACACTGCATCGTAAAAGCAAGAGACGTTTTAACATCACGTTAGTGTGTTATCATGCAAAGAATAAATAATACTATGGGTTTGATGAAAACTTCACTTACTCTAAAAGGATGCTTCTATTAACATTCTTAAGGCAGGTGAAGAAGCAATTAACATATATCACAACAAATTTCTGGAGGCAGGAGAGAAGGCAGAGAAAGTCTTCAACCTGAGCCGTGACTTCATTTCCAGTTTCCTGATTATTAACATTTCTGAGCCGTGACTTCTTCATTTCCAGTTTCCTGGTTAACATTCCTGAGCCCTGGCTGCTTCATTTCCAGTTTCCTGATTATTAACAGTCCTGAGCCCTGGCTGCTTCATTTCCAGTTTCCTGGTTATTAATATTCCTGAGCCTTGGCTTCTTTATTCCAGTTTCATGATTATTAACATTTTGCCACAATGGCTCTTGCTTTCCCTGGACACTGGGATCCTTCACCCCTAAATTAGAACGAAGACATTCGCCTACACAAACATCACATTTATAACAGACACGATAGTCTACAGTTAATATATAATCTAGATGACAGTTTCCTAAATTGTCCCAGTATATCCCTTATGGCTATTTTTCCTGTCTCTCTAGTCTGCTTTTCTCTAGAAGTGTTTCTCAGCATTATACGGTGGAGGAGAGCAGGATGTCTCTCTTGACACTGAGATTTCTGAAGCATGCAGGCTAGCTGCTTTTCGAAGGACACCTCTCAAGTTGGGTTTGTCCGATTGTTTCCTCAAGATGAGATTCACGTTAAGTACTTTCCACAGGAAAACAACAGAGTGGACACTGTCCACCTCAGCACATCACAACAAGGACACACAAGTCAGTCTGTCCATCCTCAGCACATCACAACAAGGGACACACAAGTCAGTCTGTCCACCTCAGCACATCACAACAAGGGACACACAAGTCAGTCTGTCCACCCTCAGCACATCACAACAAGGGATACACAAGTCAGTCTGTCCATCCTCAGCACATCACAACAAGGGGCACACAAGTCAGTCTGTCCATCCTTAGTGTAGCAGGACGAGCCGCAGACAAAACTCCTCAGACACCGAGTTAAAGGAGGAAGGGCTTTATTCGGCCGGGAGCATCGGCAAGACTCACGTCTCAAGAGCCGAGCTCCGAGTGAGCAGTTCCTGTCCCTCTTAAAGGCTCACAACTCTAAGGGGGTCCGCGTGAGAGGGTCGTGATCGACCGAGCAAGCAGGGGGTACATGACTGGGGGCTGCATGTATCGGTAATTAGAACAGAACAGAACAGGACAGGGATTTTCCCAGTGCTTTTCTAAACAATGTCTGTAATCTGTAGATAACATAACCGTTAGGTCAGGGGTCGATCTTTAACTACCAGGCCCAGGGTGTGACGCCACGCTGTCTGCCTGTGGATTTCATTTCTGCCTTTTAGTTTTTACTTCTTTCTTTGAAGGCAGAAATTGGGCATAAGACAATACGAGGGGTGGTCTCCTCCCTTATTCCTCCCCTTTGAGAACTTCACTCAATAGTGGGAGTTCTCACTTTCGTTCTCACTACCCATGTCTTCTTGCAAGACAGATCGATAGTGATTCATATAGTACACTTGTGCTGAAGCATTCTGGTGAACTAAGGTAGTGATGAAGCTTTTTATCATTTGAAGAAGTACAGGTAGCAAACAAGGGAGCAGTAAGCAGGTTCCTATCACTATTACGACTCCTATTATAAGAGTTTTAAATCCTCCTAGCGCTGGCAACCATTTTCTAAACACAGCCCCAGGATCAAATCCATGCCACACTTGCACAGGCACATGTGCCAGTTTTGTCATATCTCTAACTATGTCTTCAACTACTTGCCCTTGATCAACTATGTGTAGACCAGCAATCAGTAAGGTTAAATTTCCTACAGACCCCTCCTTTAGCTGCTAGCAAGTAGTCGAGAACCAATCTATTTGGATAGATAGCATTTCTCATCTGAGTTTCCTGCCGGGCCAGAATAGTCAAGGCTCTGCCAGTCTTATTAGTGATTATATCTAAGACAGCTTCTAACCATACGATTCAGCTGACCATGTAAATGGGGGTCTGGTATCCCCACGAGCCATCTTGTGCCCAAGTACCAGGCCCATAATATTGTGTGATTCTCTCAGGGGGCCATTCATCATCTTTCCAATCTCCTATAGCTATGCTTCTCTTCACAGGAAGCACAGACAGGGAAGATCAGGAGTTCGCCTGTCTTTATGGGCAGTAGGAAGAAAGCTGGTTTAACAGTGCCAATACCACAACTACCTGCCCACTGGTCGGTAATTTGGTGTAAGCTCTATGCCCACACACCCAGTATAAGCCAGTGGGGGCTGTCCAGTCCCGGTGGGACTCCGGGTGGGTCCACACGGTTTGCAACTTTGGGCATTTACTAAACGGATTTTTCTTAGTGTGGTTTGAACTCCACCAGGGGGCTGTTTTTGTAGCACTATCACACAGTTTTTGCCTAAGGCAGCTGAGTCTTCCCACAGGAAGAGTGAAGTCCTTCCCCACTCTTGCTATACAGTATTGTCTAATGATTGAGGCTGTTAGGACCCAGAAGTTATCAGGCTGATTCTTTTGAGCTGAGAATTCATGAGGAACTGGGTCTGTAGGTACTAATTCTTGGGCTTCCCATGGCCACTGATCTCCCATTACAGTTCCTCCACATACATAACATGAAGTGACAATAAGAGACTGGACTACATGCTCAGTTAATTGCAAAAACAAATTTCGTGCTTTTCCTGGAATTTCTGGTACTGGCACATTCAGTTCATCATAGAAGGTTTGAAATACTGGCTCAGGAGAGCGTTTGTAAACTTCTCCTCAAACCATGAGGATCCAGTCCAGCCCCATCCATTCCTAGGGTCACACGCTCCCCGTTTTTCCAGCGAGGATCAAGGGGGTTGGTTATTACTAGTTCTAAGGGGTTACACTGACCACTGGTACAGGAAGGGCCACTTTTCCCTTTCTGAAGGTGGACAGGATCCTCTTCATTTTTTATCCAAGTAGCCTAAATGACACAAGACCAGTATCCACATTCATTTCCACACAGTCCTAATTCTGACAAACGTACTTATTTTCTGCCATATGGCCTCTTTCCTAATTAAGAGAACCACATCCTATTCCTACCTTGTTACTATTAATGACAGCACAGGCATCAAACTTCAAGGTGACTTATTTGGACACCCTTTTCTTTTGTTTTGGCTAACACTTTACTCGTATCATTTATGAGGCCCCACCAGTCCTCAGCCCTTAATCTTATTTCAAAAACTGTGGTCATGGGAGGCTCAGATGGGTCATAACACACATCAGGTTAGTCATTTCCTGGGCTACACACCTTATATAGAATAGCATTATACAAACAAGTTCTTTCTAGAGTCCCAGTACACTTATAATAACCATAAAACAGGACTGTAGCAACTTTTTGTCCTACCTCAGTGACTTGATGTATACACTGGGAATAGTCCTCAGTCTGAGGAAGGTCAGTTGAAGTCCTTACTGGACAAGCCCAAATTTTAAGGAAAATGAATCCTGCGATGAGTTTTCTCATGCTTCGGCCGTGCGTGGACCAGTCAGCTTCCGGGTGTCACTGGAGCAGGGCTTGTCATCTTCTTCAGAGTCACTTTGCAGGGGTTGGTGAAGCTGCTCCCGCCCACATACAGCTCACAGTCTACTGATGTTCAAGGACGGTCTCCGAGGTTGGGCCCTCTACAATAAACTGAGTCTAACACCTTTACACAGTTATGTTCAACTGGACTCTGTGATCCCGGGAGCAAGGTGGCAGAGTTTAGGGTGCTGCAAACTTCAATGGTTATGTGGGGATTTTCACATAGCAAGCTTTGGTACTTGGTTAATCTAGCATTTGCTAGCCAATGATGGTATTTGGTATTCATCAAAGTTACCACAGCATGGGGGACCTTTACATTCAGGTTTTGCCCAAGGGTTAGTTTACCTGCTTCTTGTGCTAACAGGGCCCTTGCTGCCAGGGCCCTTAGACACGGGGGCCAACCTTTAGAAACCCCGTCCAGTTGTTTTGAGAGATAGGCCACTAGCCTTGGCCAGGGCTCCACAGTCTGGGTTAAAACTCTAACTGCCATTTTTTCTCTTTCTGACACATACAGTGTAAAGGGTTTTGTCAGGTCAGGTGGCCCCAGGGCTGGGGCCGACATGAGTTTTTCTTTTAATTCATGAAAAACTCGTTGCTGTTGGTTGTCATAGAT